TACCGGCATGTCCGACCCGTACACGGCGAATTTCCGCTGCCGTGTGGAGAATAATTAGGTGATAATTGCCGCTAAATTATGCATATTCCAGCAACGCACGGAGCGGTGCACGGCCATTTCCTGCCGTGTACGGGGATGTACAGGGATCGTGTCCGGGCATATAACGTCCAGTACACGACCTGCACACAAAAAGTGGTTCATTTCCGGGAGTGTACAGGACATGTACGGGACTGGACACGTTTCGTGTGCAGGTCGGAAACCCCCGGGTTCTACCGGAAACCTAAAATATCCGGGAAAGTGTGCGACAATTTCTCACACGGAAACTAGGGATTTTGTGCCGTGAATGTTTACATGTGCAATCCAGGGCTCGAAATAGTGGGTGTATGTGCACCTTAGCGCTGTGCACCCATTTTTTTCTGTGGGGGCACTGGTGCACACAAATATTTTTGTAGGTATAATTATATTTATAGTATACAGGATATTCTTGTCATCTAAGTGTCAGAAAAATAATAAAATCTTTGTTGTGTTACTTGTTTAAGGTTTTGAAGTTACCTCCCATTTTGGATTCAAGCTCAGAAGAGGAGCAGTAAGATCAGAGTGTAATTAAGTTTTGTTTCATATGGTGAACCCAATTTTTTTTTTTGTGCACCTAATTTTTTAGGTTAGGTGCACCAGTGCACCTATATTCCCAAAAATGAATTTCGAGTCCTGCAATCATTTATGGTTCAGTTGAGTGAATCACATGACTGTATCTTCAACTCTTTGTTTTGGGTTGTTCTGTTTAGGTGTCAGGACACCATGGGTACAAAGCTGCAACATGTGCTGATTTTCCTTCTCTTCATCCTGAAGGAGCCCAACATGCCAGAGGCTAAATGCGATTGTTCAACAAACAAGAACCGGCCATGCGTAATAAGACCAGTATGGTTTACACCACGAACTCCCTGCTGCAACTGTGAAGAGCTGGGACTCACTAGTATCCCCCAGGACCTTCCCGAATCCATTACTTTCTTATATTTAGGAAATAATCGGATTGCCACCTTCCCCCAGAACCTCCCAACATCCATTGAACACCTGGATTTGAGACATAATCAGCTAACTAGCATTCTGCCAAATACATTCCGCAATCTACCACAGCTTGCAATATTAATTTAAAACCTGTGCAAAAATGGGATACGTGACATTAAGCCTGGTACGTTCTCAAATCATCTTAAGCTCTACAGGGTGAACCTGTCTTCAAATAAAATAACTTACCTCTTGACTGGTGCATTCTCCAACCTACCCAAGCTCGACATGTTGACTTTAGATGATAACCAGATGAATTACATCCAGCCTGGAGCATTCTCTAATCTAACCAGACTTTCTATCGTGTACTTGTGCTTCAACAATATAACTTCTATCTTGCCAGGCACATTTTCAAATACACCCAACCTTGTAAAACTGCATCTGAATTCCAACAGGATAATCAGCATTCAGTCTGGTGTACTTTCAACTCTAACCCGGCTCGTAACATTGTATCTGAACTCCAACAAGATAACGTCCGTCCAATTTGGCGTATTCTCAACTCTACGCAAGCTCCAATCTTTGTTCCTGGAGGACAATCAGATATTTTCCCTTCCCCCGTCTGCTCATTCTGTGTTGTCAGTGATACCAGAGGTAAACATTGAGGCAAACCCCTGGCAGTGTGACTGCAGAATGCGTCCCTTCAGGCTGAAAATGACAGGCTCTGCTTCATTTGAAAACCAGATAACTTGTGCCAAACCCGAAAACTTCCGTGGACAAAAGCTTAAAGATATTAATTCTGAAGACCTGATCTGTGAAGAAACCACTGTATCAACACTACTGCCTTTTGATATTCATGCCTCAACTGCAGTGTCTACATCTTATTCGTTTGGCGATGCAGAAAGCAATGCTAGCCTGACAGCATATTCCATAGGCTTCACATCTGCCACACAAATTGGCAACAAATTTGAAAGAGGTAAACAATGCTACAATGTCAATGCTACATCTCCCCATTATAACTGGTACTTCAAAACCAACGCTGGCTCAAAAGCACATCGTGCAGACATAACAACATCATCATCAGGTCAGGAATTCCCAGACATAACAAGAGCACCACTCACTCCCCTTGTAAGCACTCCAGACAGTTCCTACGAATCTGCTCCAAGGATCACCCTATCTGTTCCCATTGGTGCTGCAGCAGGTGTTCTTCTGATTGGCTGTATCATTCTCAGTATCATTCTCAGCATCATCAGATGCCAGAGGAGGACTAGACATCCTCCTTCAGGCCAAAATCCAAAAGTCATTGTAGATGTAACCAACACTGCGATGACCAGTGCCCATGATCAGGCCATCACTGAGTCCAGCACACACACCACAGCTAGTGCTCAGGACCACCAGTATGAAAATAGTGATCAGCATGATCAGACAGGGCAGGGCCAGTCTCAGGCCATCACTGAATCCAACACACACACCACAGCTAGCGATCAAGACCACCAGAATAAAAATAGTGACCAGCATGATCAGACAGGGCAGGGTCAGTCTCAGGCCAACACCGAATCCTACACAAACACCACAGCTGCTATTGTACATGTAGAAGCTAGTCAACATGATCAGACAGGGCAGAACCCAACTTACAACTTCACTGAATGCTTCACAAAAACCACAGCTGCTGTAACAGCTGTAAGAGTTAGTGGTCATGATCAGACAGGGCAGGGCCAGTATCAGGCAACCCCTCCATCTGTGGATGTTGGAAACCCAACGTATAACACCGAGCCCAAATCTCTGTACACTGGTGCAGAGGAATCACCACCAGACAACCCAAAATCTCAATAAGCAGCACCAAAGCAAGTTGCTAACATTAGGCCTTCGAAACAGCCACTAGTCCATCCCATGAAGGCACTACCTGACATCAATGGATATTTTTAAAAAAGTAAATTGGGCAGACATATATAAAAAAAGATCTGTCATCTGACTCTTACTAAATACAGAAGTTTACTGTGTCAGAGTACCACTTACCGAGTATGAGGTGTCTGTGTCGGCATCGTAGCAGCTGCAGTGCTGCGCGACCTTGGCGCAGTAGTCCCCGACCTTGACCAGGTCGTCCCCGCGACACTCGCAGGTGCTGGAGCAGGTCACGACCCCTGGGCTGCAGATCAGGTTACCACTGCAGTCCTCCTCACAATGGCACCTCTCGTCACAGACTGAACATAAACAAGGGATGTTCAAACAAGGCATATAACCCAACATCAAGATTAATGACCTGTTCCAAAAGTCTATCAACATAGGGGTGTTTTCTGCACCTTAAGGCCTACAGTCTTCACAATGGCACCTCTCATCACACATTGAACATAAGAAATCAAAGATTTCAGACTTCTGGGAAGTATTGTTAGATTTTTGCAAACTTGTGGAAACAACCAAAGATAACCGGGACAATACCAGAATAGACCATTGGAAACATGATGTATATATTGACATGAAAGTAGAGGCAGCCATTTATAATTGTTTAATTAATATATATTTCCTTACCATATTCAGGAGTAGTAGTGATAGCACTGGTCAGTACAGATGTGGTGGTGGTCACTGCAGGGAGGGCAGTTGTGGTGGTGACTTCTAAAGATGTAACAAACAAGACAAATTAGTGAAGAATGCTGTATAGAGTAATCTGTCTCAAATAATAGTTCTATAACAATGCTTTTTTATCTGCAGTTTGAAAGCAAGCTGCTAGAGAGTGTTGCATCAAGGCTTGCTAACAATTATTTAGAAAAAAGTAGAGCTTGATTTGTCTTTGAATAACTCCACCACTTTTTTTGGCCAGACCCGACTTGCACACCAATAATGTGAAAATATAATGCTTATGAAAATGTACTTATCATAATCTATCCTTGGTGTAAATATATTGTAAGTACTGCATGCTTAACGAGTGGGCATCCTCTCCGAAATTTTAAGTATGCAAAATTACAGTAATTTTTAGTCTTTTAAAGATAAGAAATTTGTGGTAGCTATTTCCTGCTTACCCAGTGGACATCCCCTCAGCTCTATCCTGAGTGCGATGGCGTTCTCCCACTCTTCTGGATACAGCCGGATCAGACTGGCCACAACCGGTTCTGGCAACTTTGACTCCGCCACACTCGTACCATCAGTGTTACCGTCAAATATCTGCAAATTTGGTGTGCAAAAAATGAGTCTGACTCAGGAATTTTTAAAATCTACAAAAGAAAACAGTATTACTTGTGTTACATATGAAAAATGTACAATTGACAGATTTTAACATCTGTCCAGTTGTTTGAGTAACAGTTTTCTTGTGTATCTCATTACCTGGATGTCTAACGTACATTGACATGATCTCTTTGACACTTTAGGGAGAAAATGGTCTGGTAATGGTGCAGCACACAATCATGTACATGTAGGCTCTAGTGCATTGCGTGTATTCAAGGAAGAGTGTTAAAGGTCTCTAGATTTTTCATTAACTGGGATGGATCGTGTGGATCGAATAATTATAAGGAAAATAAGGATCAAAATGCAAAGCTGCAATTACAGAATACCAATCAAAATAAAAGAGAAAATAGAATGAAATAAAGAAGCAATAGTAGAAAAAAATTCCCAACCAGTTGTTCTGTCTCCTGTCCCTCCTCAGTCCCAGGTTCAGTGACAAATGTCCACTCCTCCCCGTCTACAGAGTACGCCACCTTGTACTGGGTTACAAAACCATCCTCTCCTCCTCCTTGGGTCACTATGGATGTGATCTAAGAAAAGACAAATGAATGATTGTGGAGAATTTGTTTGGTGATGATGACTAAACACCACCTTTAGAAATAACCTATTGAAATTTACAAAGACATGGAAAATCTGTAGAATGATAGAGAAGAAATGCTTTAACTTCAGCTGCAATTTCTTCACCAAACATTTTGCAGAAAGAACAATTTAACTAAAAGTATGACAGTCACTGTAGAATTGCAATATTGCATAAAATGTTTAACATATATCTAAGAGTCATCTTGTAACAGTCTACAGTACATTTCTGTACACATATATTTCTTTAATATAATTTATCAGCCAATGTATTATACAGGTACATACAGGACAGATGATATCCACATATCAGCTATGTTGAAACAAATTGAGAATCACTCAATGTTACCTGTACGGGTTCCTTAAACTGAACCTCCAGGTATTCTCCTGGTCTGTCCTCAACAGGTGACCAGTACTCAGGTGTCACAGGTGAACCAGGTGTTGTCTTTCCTCCAGGTGTAGCCACTGTTGTCTTATCTTCAGGTGTTTCAGGTGTGGTCTTGTCTTCAGGTGTAAGACGTGCGTCTTCAGGCAGGTGTTCAAGCTCGGATGAAGAAGCGGAGAAGGTTGGTTCTGGAGCTTCAGTCTCCTCTGTGTTCAGCTCCACTTTCAAAGCGATGTTCTCCTCCCAGTCTTCAGGGAAGATCCGGACCAGTTTGGCCTCCACTGGTTCTGACAACTCTGTTGTTACTGGGGTGGTTCCATCAGTGTTGCCTTCAAACAGCTGAAAATACATGGAAAATTATAAATTTAAACATTAAAGACAATGTTTTCCTCCCAATCTTCAGGGAAGATCCGGACCAGTTTAGCCTCCACTGGTTCTGACAATTCTGCTGTTACTGGGGTGGTTCCATCAGTGTTGCCTTCAAAAAGCTGCAAAGGAAATTCAAAACATATTCTAAGATCATGTCTGACTCAGTAGAATGTGCTACACCTGTGTGAAACTATGCAATATATTGTGAATATATATAGTACATCAGCCTATGTAAGGATGATGTCTATAGTTTTCAAATGTTGTGTCAGAAAAGTTATTCTTTGTACCAGGCATAAGTCTTCAAACATCTGATGAAAACTGAGAAAAACCTGGATTTTGCACAGGTTCAGTTCTGCTGATGTGCTTACATGTATTTCACAACCCATTCAACTTCAATACTTCAACCAATGTAAACCAGCCTAATTAAATCACCCTGGCTTTTACTGCTCAGACCTCTGGTGCTATTTTTAATAAAATTGTGATAAGAAGCGCAACTGAGCAAAAGAGCGGACAAACAATTACCCTATAGGAATGTTGACACGCTATCCTAAGACTGTTGTTAACATACCTTATCCACTGGCTCCTGTCCCTCCTCAGTCCCAGGTTCTGTGACAAATGTCCACTCCTCCCCGTCTACAGAGTACGCCACCTTGTACCTGGTCACAAAACCATCGTCTCCTCCTCCCTGGGTAGTTATGGATGTGATCTAAGAAAAAAAACATAATCATCACTCTAGGGTATTATCACTATTATTATAATAATAGTAGATCCCCTCTCTTAACTGACTCGTCTTTTCTTAGTCCAGCCCATGTGTTGAACTAGATTGTACATCCCATACAACAGTGAGATGTATACCTTGCTCATCAATCATTTAGTACAATATTTAAAGGTGCCCTAAGCGATATCTGGGCATTAAAATAGGAAATATGTAGAACAAGACAATCTGTATGGTATTGACACATATCACCAAGTATCAGCACATTTGTATCATTATTTCATACGTTTGGCGTTTAAAACAGCACAGAAACTAGCCCAGAGACAATTTGCTCGATTTATCGGGGCCTCCATTTAATCGGCCCCAAAATCCACCAAGTAACCGTTTCCTGTCGGCAATTTTTGCAAAAAATGGAACGCGCCGCCTTGGTTCCATGGATCGAACGCAGGAGTTCGAAACCGATTGACTTCAAATTTGACAATTTTTGGATGGTCAGAACCTTGTATTAAATTCCTCTTTTTGCATATACTTAAATGTCATCATATCACTTATTATATTGCATGTGGTAGCCAGATTCATACAGTTTCTCATACCAAGAAACGAATTTTATGACATTACGCGAAATGTATCAAAATGTAGCAGAAACTCAGGATGGTGTGTGTCATTAGTGCCGCATCTTAGAGAATAACGCGCTGCGGTTCGACTGATTCAGCACGTTCTATTGACCCCTGGAAAGGTCGCGGTAAACCACGTGACTCGTCCTCGGCTCTGCTCGGAAGAAGTCGGAAGTGTTCGCGAGCGCTCAGAAATTTCAAAAATGGCCGACACCACTGCCGGCGGCGGGAGGCACGTAGTTTTTCACAACGTTCGTACGGCAAAGCGGCATCGAATTTTTGCTCCATGACTATCGGTATGGGATAGGATAGGGTTGATTCAACATACTACGTGAAAATGTGACAAAAAGACAGACTTTTAAAATTGAATGCTCCCAGCCTACTATCGGCCAGATATCGCTTAGGGCACCTTTAACTAACAACAAGTAAGCAATCACAATGCAGCTAGTAGTCCATAATGTTTCACTTATCTTAATTGGCTGGTTCTATGCATTTCACATGCAGGCACACCTTTTATTTAATATTTCTACATATGACAGGGGATTAGCACATGAAAGAAAAACAGGATACGAAAGATGTTACATGTATTAACAACATCTTTGTTTCAGCCAAATTTATGACAAGGAAAGATAAGTATTTGTCTCAGAGGTCCACAAAAATACTGCACCTGTACTGGTTCCTTAAACTGTACTTCCAGGTACTCTCCTGGTCTGTCCTCAACAGGTGACCAGTACTCAGGTGTCACAGGTGAGCCAGGTGTGGTCTTGTCTCCAGGTGTTTCAGGTGTGGTCTTGTCTTCAGGTGTAAGACGTGCATCTTCAGGCAGGTGTTCAGGCTCGGACGAAGAAGCGGAGAAGGTCGGTTCTGGAGCGTCGGTCTCCTCCGTGTTCAGCTTGACTTTCAGAGCGATGTTTTCCTCCCAGTCTTCAGGGAAGATCCGGACCAGTTTGGCCTCCACTGGTTCTGACAATTCTGCTGTTACTGGGGTGGTTCCATCAGTGTTGCCTTCAAACAACTGGAAATGTATGAAAAATTATAGTTTAAATATTAAAAACAATGTTCTCCTCCCAGTCTTCAGGGAAGATCCGGACCAGTTTGGCCTCCACTGGTTCTGACAACTCTGTTGTTACTGGGGTGGTTCCATCAGTGTTGCCTTCAAAAAGCTGCAAAGGAAATTCAAAACATATTCTAAGATTAGTGATGCATACCGGTTCACTGGACTTGGATCCGGACTTAAAAAATGTTTAGGTTCAAGTCCAAAAAAACCTAAAAGTCAAGAACCGAGTCCGGACTTATTACCAAAAAAGACCATTTCACATACCCCTTTTCTTTCCAAACCACCTAAAACCTTCTGTAGATTGTAAAATCTTTGCTGCAAAATGAAGAAAACATTGCCATCGGGCATCGTCAAGTACCGGCCTCCATGTTATATTTAATTACGTGGCCAAAGTTTCACCCAGACAACATTGCAAGGTTGCCAACATGCAATTTTGTATATGCCATGGGTTTAGGTCCGGACTTACAAGTCCGGACCTGAACCTAAACCTCTGGACTTGAATCCGGACCTGAACCTGAAATTGGGTTTAGGTATGCATCACTATCTAAGATCATGTCTGACTCAGTAGAATGTGCTACACCTGTGTGAAACTATGCAATATATTGTGAATATATATAGTACATCAGCCTATGTAAGGATGATGTCTATAGTTTTCAAATGTTGTGTCAGAAAAGTTATTCTTTGTACCAGGCATAAGTCTCCAAACATCTGATGAAAACTGAGAAAAACCTGGATTTTGCACAGGTTCAGTTCTGCTGATGTGCTTACATGTATTTCACAACCCATTCAACTTCAATACTTCAACCAATGTAAACCAGCCTAATTAAATCACCCTGGCTTTTACTGCTCAGACCTCTGGTGCTATTTTTGATAAAATTGTGATAAGAAGCACAACTGAGCAAAAGAGCGGACAAACAATTACCCTATAGGAATGTTGACACGCTATCCTAAGACTGTTGTTAACATACCTTATCCACTGGCTGCTGTCCCTCCTCAGTGCCAGGTTCAGTGACAAATGTCCACTCCTCCCCGTCTACAGAGTACGCCACCTTGTACCTGGTCACAAAACCCTCATCACCTCCTCCCTGGGTTGTTATGGATGTGATCTAAGAAAAAAAACATAATCATCACTCTAGGGTATTATCACTATTATAATAATAGTAGATCCCCTCTCTTGACTGACTCGTCTTTTCTTAGTCCAGCCCATGTGTTGAACTAGATTGTACATCCCATACAACAGTGAGATGTATACCTTGCTCATCAATCATTTAGTACAATATTTAACTAACAACAAGTAAGCAATCACAATGCAGCTAGTAGTCCATAATGTTTCACTGTCTTATCTTAATTGGCTGGTTCTATGCATTTCACATGCAGGCACACCTTTTATTCAATATTTCTACATATGACGGGGGATTACCACATGAAAGAAAAACAGGATACGAAAGATGCTACATGTATTAACAACATCTTTGTTTCAGCCAAATTTATGACAAGGAAACACAAGTATATTTCTCAGAGGTCCACAAAAATACTGCACCTGTACTGGTTCCTTAAACTGTACTTCCAGGTACTCTCCTGGTCTGTCCTCAACAGGTGACCAGTACTCAGGTGTCACAGGTGAGCCAGGTGTTGTCTTTCCTCCAGGTGTTTCAGGTGTGGTCTTGTCTTCAGGTGTAAGACGTGCGTCTTCAGGCAGGTGCTCAGGCTCGGACGAAGAAGCCGAGTAGGTTGGTTCCGGAGCTTTGGCGTCCTCTGTGTTCAGGTCAACTTTCAGAGCGATGTTCTCCTCCCAGTCTTCAGGGAAGATCCGGACCAGTTTGGCCTCCACTGGTTCCGACAACTCTGCTGTTACTGGGGTGGTTCCATCAGTGTTGCCTTCAAAAAGCTGAAAATGTATGAAAAATTATAGATTTTAAATATCCAAAACAATTTTTTCCTCCCAGTCTTCAGGGAAGATCCGGACCAGTTTTGCTTGCGCTGATTCAGAAATCTCAGTTGTTACTGGCCGGTTCTGCTTTTCGATTTTATGGTCATTTTTTTAATGTAGTAGGCTGTTATCAACCGTATTCGATATCTGTGAGGGTAAAATGCAATGTCCCTGACAGAAAACAGCTTGTTTCATATTGTATACTGGTTCTACCTACTTTTTGGTGGCACTAAAAAGTAAAGGGACTCTGCACACAGCTTGTTTTTAGGCTATTATAAATGCTTGAAGTATGAAATGATAACAAAAATGTGCTTAGAAATGGCAGTAAATATCAATATCAGATGGATTTCTTCAGCAAGAATATTTCTCTGCTTTGCTGCCCTGAAATTGCATTAGATGTCATTAACATACATGTACCTTATCCACTGGTTCCTGTCCCTCCTCAGTCCCAGGTTCAGTGACAAATGTCCACTCCTCCCCGTCTACAGAGTACGCCACCTTGTACCTGGTCACAAAACCCTCATCACCTCCTCCCTGGGTGGTTATGGAGGTAATCTGGAAGACAAGAATCACAGAGTGTGTTTGTTTGTTTGTTTGTTTATTTCGATCCCCATTAGTGCTTAAAAGCACTATTCTTCCTGGGGTCAATAAATATTATATTATAGAATATTAGTATGGTAGATGTTAACATACATGTGTGCATATGGTACATTATACATAGTTACATGTAGCTTCAATGTAATGGGAAGATGTATTTGTTACAGAATGGAAAATTAACTACAGTTTATATATATATATAATAATTGTTCTAAGGAGCTGCTGTCCTTTTTAATTAACAACATCTTGCAAGTTTGTGATTTGAACAAATGACAATACACATTACTTGCCAATGGATATTGCACATGTTTAAGGAGTTCTGACAATACACATAACTTTGACATTTCACATGTTTAAGGAGTAAAAGATTACATTATTTCATGCTAACCTCAACAGGTTCCTCAAACTGGATCTCCAGGTACTCCCCAGGCTTATCCTCCTCAGGAGACCAATAGCCTGGCTCTCCAGGCTCCTCAGGCTCCTCCTCAGGGCTGAGACGGGCCTGGTCCGGGCTGTGGTCAGGCTGTGAGGACGAGGCTGTCAGGCTATGCTCAGGAACGTTGGGGTTCTCCAGACCTAGCTCTATGCCCATCTTCTCATCACAGTAACCTGTGGAAGGAAAATGTACAGACTATGCATGCATGATGTGTGAAATGACTGATAAACTGGTAGATACGTGTATACTAAATACTGAATAATAAGTACCAAATACTTGCCAAGTAGGGATATCTTCACTAGATAGCTTTAACCAACAATTGCACTTAGATAATTATATTATTATTATGCAAAAGATATACATGACAGGTCCTTCAGTGTAATTTAGTATGTTATGTAGTTAAGAGTTATACCAGTTATACCAGTTATACCAGTTATACAGATACAGATAAAGATAGGAAGACCCAAGAGAATTTGGACATGCCATGTGTAAATTTTGAATGTAAACTGTCAGACTTCTGAATCCCTAAACAAAAAGTTTTTCATACATTTTTACTATATTTTCTAAATATGACTTTTGTATAAAATTTGAAAGATATGACTGTACCAGAAGGACTTGTGACGGTGGTTGTCTTGATGACGGTGGTGACGGTGGTCTTGGTGGGCTGTTCTGTTGTCATGACAACGACCTTCCTGGTGGTGTGCTCCACCAGTGGGGTGGATTCCTCCGGGGTCACCTCTGAGAAAACCAAACAAAAACATGGACAAACATAAAAACTCATGTATCATGAAATTCAATCCTTATAACTCACATTTCATACAATGTCATGCTAACTTCATATTTAACATTATAAAGGACTGTGAGCTGAGTAAGTAAGTGTGTTATTTTATGGTGGTTATATGCTGTTGTTTTGTGATAATCACCGTGACTAGAATAACTTTAAACTTAAAAGTTTTTAGAAAATGTTGAGTTTAGAAATTGTTAAGAAATTGTAATTGTAACTACTAAAATGATGGGATTGTTATATTTTATTTTATAATAATGAAAACTGTTGGTACGTACAAAAAGTTTTAAATCAGCAATACCGGGGAACGAACAACTGAACTTAAGTGTAGCAGTATTGTTAATAAAAAATCTGCTCTGACCTGTGACCTCTGGCACAGACTCAGTTGCTAGGGGCGACTGGGTTGACCCAGGCACAGAGGCTGATGGGAAGGCTGTGCTGAGTGCAGGGGTCGTCAGTCCTGCCAAGGTCGTGTGGAGAGGCTCCGACTTGGAGGTCGTCTCAGTCTGGGAGGTGTAGGTCTTCTTAGTTGTGCCCTCTGTTATATATACAAAAGAATGGAAAAAAACACTCACAACACATGACATTGTAAGCAAATGGAAGATTTGAAAAAAAAATTTGAAGAAATATATGTTTTTTAAGTCTTGTAGTTGGTATCTGCTGATAATGGACAAACTTGAGGCATTTTAAGGAATAAAACAGAGAAAAAGTTAATATCATGATTTGAGTAAAAAAACTTTGCTACACCTAGCATAATTTGAAAACCTGGATGCTGCTAAGGGTCTGTCTTTCTTTTTGGTTTACTTTAAATGAAAGGATGGCAAAGTGAACTGACCAGGCCCTGCTGTTGTCCCCTCCATGGGCTGTTCAGATGTGATGGTCAGGGTGGTAGTGGTCACCTGAACCTCATGGGTAGGCTGGACTGGACCTGTGTATTCAGTCACTGGGAAAATACAACATCCGGTTTGCAAATTTTTTTCTAGTTCAAGAATTTAGACACAAAATTAATGAAGGATCTTTTTAACAGTTCTTATATTGTCAAAATCTCCTCTTATCTAAAGTCCTGATGCAAATATACAGAAGGCAATATACACTAAGGCAAATTGAGCAAAAATTTGCAAACTTTCTTTCACTTCAATCATTTGAATGCTTACGATACTTGTTGCTCTCTAACTCAAAGAACATTCTTATGTAATTATTCATAAATTTCCTCTGTATTGAAAAGCTGGATCAAAACATACACCAATATAGCATGAGACAACCTACTGTTACATATTATTGGCCATTTAGGGGAAGGCAAGGATTTTGGCTTATTGTTTAATAAGTAGTTTTAATTATCTACCTGGAGTTTCCTGTGTCTCTGATACTGGAGGCGTGGCTGTTGACCCCATGACCTTGGTTGTCTTGACAACGCTGACAGTAGAGGCTGCTGGGAAGGCTGTAGTCTCCACAGTGCCAGCGGAAGTCTGACCTGGCACGACCGTTGTCTCACTCACCACGACGCTCCTGGTGGTGCTTTCCACTGTCGGGGCTGTGGAGGGCTTCTCTGTACCTTTGAAAATAAAGACAAGAAACACAATTTATCAAATTAAGGCCTTTCATTTTATGTTCATTGGTGCACTAGCCACTTTCATTTTTTGGTCGTTACACATTCTGTATCGTTATTTCAACCTGTACTTTGTATGTTATATGTTCTTGAGCAGAGGACCTTATGAGCACATTTGTGCTTGCTATCTAATAATGCTCATAAATCCATGTGAATAAAATAAAGACAAGTCGGTATCATTCATAAGTGTGACATAAATTTAGAGTGGTGTCTATTGCCCCCCGAAAGAAAACAATCTTCGTTGAAATCTTTTAGTTATTTTTCTATTTCTTATCTATAATCATGTGATCACTGTTGAGTCCTCAAAAGACAGTGGTTGTTTAGGATTACTAATACATGTAGATGTAAATGAGAGCTGGGTGAGGAAGATGAAAAAGGAAATTCAGTGTAACTGACATAGACCTGTCCTTGGTGCTGAAAGCAAAGACGTGATGTTTTGTTATTCAACCAAGGAAAGAATGTACCTAGTGTACAAAACTGGTGATACAAACAAACAAACAAACAAACAAACAAACAAGATGCCTGCCTACCTTGGCATGCGCAGAAAAACCTGACTTTGTAGTCGTAGCAGGCGGGGATGGGAGCCTGTTTGTTGTTGTAACACACCAGACCGACCGTGGTGGAGCACTCTACTTCATTCTGGAAAGCAGCTCTGGAAAACAGGCAACAGTAATGATCATTACTCTGACTGGGAGTAAATTGTTTCTTCCAAAAGTTAATGTGGAAAAACATTATTTATCCATATGTATGTTGTGTAATCTTTTCTATTTACTTGCACATATCAATTAGTTGAGTACAAGGGCACAAGGACATAATTTGTTATTGGGGGGTAAGGAGACATTTGCTGCATCTTAAATTTGTGAAACAACTGTTACAGTAGTAATACAGTTGTTAATTCAATGGTGAGAGCATACCTTAAAAGTTGTGAACATAAAACCATCACAAATAATCCTAGATTTACAGTCGTGAAATTAAATATATGGAAAAACTTTTCCTCACCTGTAGTCCATGTCCATACTGACAGTGTGACACTGGATATCAGTGATCATCTCAGGCCCACAGAAGTCAAACTTCTTCCTCAGGTTTTCCAGTGTCTCAAACTCTCCCATGGAGACAGGTGAAGGGTAGGAGGAGCTCATCCACTCAGTCCAGGAACCCTGGCAGCTGGGCTCCGTGGAGGTGATGGGTGTAGACTCACTCGAAGGCTCCGTGGAGTAGCTGGGGGTAGACTCACTCCATGGCTGCTCTGTTGTCAGCTCAGAGACAGTGGTTGTTTCTATAAACAAATTAACAAAACAAATTGGGTTGCAATACATGTACATCTTGTTTTGGTGCTACAACACCCAAAGTTCAGCACTAAGGACATGTCTATTCATGCTGCATCTTTCAACATTCTATTCTGAAATGGTACCTTTACAAGCCTCTCATAGCATGACAAACATGAGTTATTTTCATCTTACAAATCTTGCAAACTTAAGTCCCTACATCCTCATTCCTCATCCTTGAATTTGCATGTGTTTTCAAAGACTAACAGAAACATAGTAGCTTGCTAATGATAGATATACATTTGTATGTTGAACACTTACCACGCGTGTAAGGGCAGCCTTAGTGCCGGGGCCTGTTCCCAGTCTACAGGCATTTACACAGACATAAAGCGCAACAACAGTGTAAGAAACACCATAATCACTTGGTAATGATACATATATCCTCAACACTTACCGTAGGTGTAAGGACAGCCTATAAACTCCAGCCTTAGTGCCGGGGCCTGTTCCCAGTCTACAGGCAGCACACGGATGTACCGAGCAACAACAGTGGTAAGTAACAAATTATAATGTAGCTTGCTAATCATAAATATACCTGTATCTTCAACACTTACCATAGGTGTAAGGGCAGCCGATGAACTCCAGCCTTAGTGCCGGGGCCTGTTCCCAGTCTACTGGCAGCACACGGATGTACCGAGCGACAACTGTGCTGCTGAGCCTGTTCTCTACCATGCTGTTGTCATTCGTGTTGGCATGGAAGATCTGAAAATCACAACAGAGCCCAGAATGTCATAAGGCCTGCAGAATACTTTAAACCTTTATTTACCTTGATTTTTCACTGTCTCATAAAAACGATATCTTGCCCATTTTGTATCTAAGGAGATACCTGTGTTCTGACTATAGGGTCTGAACTTATATGTGTTCTGACTACACATTGAAAAGAACAATGTTATTGAGGCCTTCTCAAGAACATTTTGAAACACCCGAATATCTGAAGTGTTCATACCTTAGGGATTGCAAATGCAGCATTATTTTGTAGATCTGTTCGTGGGGTAAGAGTCATCAGAATTGAGATTTATGTAAAAGACGACTGAACGAAAATAAAATGAAACTAGTCTAGACACAAACCTTTGGTTCTGGGGAAGCCTGCTCTCCCTCCTCCAGAGGCTCCTGTTCTGTGTAGTCCAGCCACTCTGACCCGTCCTCGCTGTACTGGACAGCAAACTTCCTCACCCACATATCTGAACCTGTAACATGAATACCAGACAAATAAATAGAAAAATACAATCATTATGATAATTTTTGTGCTTGTTTCTTAGGCTTACTCACATGTAGAAGGAAGTTATGCTGCAAGATCTAGCTTTGCCATATATGTACTACTTAAATGAAATAGATACTGTACCAAAAGGCCCTGTTAGTCACACTATCAGTAAGCTTCCTCTTTTTACTTTGTAAGTACAAAGCAACCTCAACTTTCTTGTGTCCCAACCAAGACTGCCATGCAAAGATGCTGAGGCACTGCACATGGCTAGAACACAAGACTTAGAGTGTGACCATTTCAAGATATAGGGATGCCTACTACTATAGAGTGTTCATATATGGTAAATACCACATGAACAATTCTCAAGACTCCAATATACACATGGTGGAGCAGGGTAAAAGCAACAGCTTTTAGTTTTTAGACAATTTCAAAAATCTGTACTTCTCCCTACCTCCGCTGCCCTGTGTGGCAATGCTGGTGATCTGGGTTGGTTCCAGGAAGTCCACCTGTATGTACTCCTCACTAGGCAGACTGTCTGCCGCTGGTGTCCACGGTTCACCTGACAGTCTCCCCACACCCGGGCTGCCGGCTGAGGAGTAGCTGATCCTGTCATCTGGGATGGAGCCATCCTCCAGGCCCAGCTTAGCATAGCAGATTGCTGGGGGAAGGGAAATAACTCTATCAGACTCCCAAAACCAATGTTGTATTCTAATGCATTGTGATATTTTTCCACTAAAACTGCAAAAATATATTATTTTTTATAACTACATGTACACATGTGTACATGTACTACATGTAACTGCATAAGTCAAGCTAGTAGAAGATCAAAATAAATTTAGGGATACTTTTGACAAATTATTTATACTTATACACACAACAAAACGTGACAAGAGACAGTCATACACAGGTTTTAGGGATATTCTCATAAAATGGGATGTCGGTAGATATTTCGGAAATGGCAGGTAAAAGAGATCAGGTGCAACTCACTGCACGGCAAAAAATTCAGACAAATGCAGGAAAGACTTACTCTGAGTTGTAGTTGTCAGCTGAGGTGTGGTATTTACTGGTGCCATGGTGGATACCTTAGAAGTTGCTGTTTTAAAGATAGCATACATTTGTCAGTTGGTGTCATATGAACTTCAAAACATAAGCTTGATCATCTGTGATGTACTTACAGCAATGAAAATAAGAATGGTAATACTATGACTTATGTTCTCCAAATGTAAGATAACTTACTGTATTGTGGCTCCTCTGTTGTTGGTGGCTCAGGTGTTGTCACTAAAAATAAAACAGATGAAGATTTTAATATATGAATTTTATATAAAACTGAAATGTCACATAATAACAGTAATACATATAGCTACCCTTATGACTCATTTACCTCAAATTAAAAAAAAAAGGTAGCCAAAGTAAAATATGTGGTAAATGAAGAAATTAAAGTCTTTATTTCACCTGTAGACTGACAGTAACAACAGCCATCCTCAGGTGTGTTGTCAACAAGTTCTTCATCCTTTAACAGAAAAAAAAGAAAATTGAATCAAAATGATACGTCGATGAAGGTTAGACATCCAGGTAATACGATATGCCAAAAAACAGTTACTCAAGCAACTGGATATGATTTTGAAAACGTCAGACGTTTCAGCTAGTATCCACTAGCTTTCGTCAGTGACTGAGAGACCAGAGGGGAAAGCAGGTTTATATACACAACCTGTTGATTGATATGCAAATAAAGTGAAGACAAATTTTTGGAAGTCGAAAAAGGAACAAAAGTCAGACAAGTCAAGACAAGATGATGCAAATTAGTCTGAAAGCTCCTGTTATACAGGACAGGAGCTTAAGTGTTGTCTGTCCTCGGGGCTGGGAGTGCCAAATCCCAAGTGCCGGAAAGATCGACCCGTAGCCCCCCTTCCCTCGTTGAGGGTGGGGTTGTACATTCTTTCATATATTGCCTCTTTAACACCCCGTTCCCACCAGCGTGTTTCGCGGTCTAAGACATCCGTGGACTCGAGTTTGAAAGAGTGACCCTGGTTGTGTTGTAGGTGGTGGAAAATAGCTGAGGAGTAGCCGTTGGCACTAGGTCGGCAATGTTCTTTGTACCTTACTTTAAGCGGTCGACTTGTCTCTCCGATGTAGATCAGTCTAAGAAAACCCAGAAGTGCAAACCATTGACCAACAAAAACAAGGCCAACATCACTATTCCGTATGTCCAAGGAGTATCTGAGAAACTCCGACGGATCTTCCAAAACTTCAACATAGCCACTAACTTCAAACCTCACTCAACCCTCAGACAAAGACTGGTACACCCTAAGGACCGACCTCACAAGGGTACCAAGGCAAATGTTATTTACAGACTCAAATGTGAGGAGCCCAATTGTAACAACACCTACATCGGAGAGACAAGTCGACCGCTTAAAGTAAGGTACAAAGAACATTGCCGACCTAGTGCCAACGGCTACTCCTCAGCTATTTTCCACCACCTACAACACAACCAGGGTCACTCTTTCAAACTCGAGTCCACGGATGTCTTAGACCGCGAAACACGCTGGTGGGAACGGGGTGTTAAAGAGGCAATATATGAAAGAATGTACAACCCCACCCTCAACAGGGAAGGGGGGCTACGGGTCGATCTTTCCGGCACTTGGGATTTGGCACTCCCAGCCCCGAGGACAGACAACACTTAAGTCTCCTGTCCTGTATAACAGGAGCTTTCAGACTAATTTGCATCATCTTGTCTTGACTTGTCTGACTTTTGTTCCTTTTTCGACTTCCAAAAATTTGTCTTCACTTTATTTGTATATCAATCAACAGGTTGTGTATATAAACCTGCTTTCCCCTCTGGTCTCTCAGTCACTGACGAAAGCTAGTGGATACTAGCTGAAACGTCTGACGTTTTCAAAATCATATCCAGTTGCTTGAGTAACTGTTTTTTGGTGAATCAAAATGACTTTTAGAAATGTGTCCTAGACTTTGTGAAGATAAGCTACAATTAGTAGATGGACAATATCTAAACAAACAAACTAACTAACTAACAGACATTAAAACAAATACGTACCCTACCTATGCAGAAAATTTACTATAATCGCCAACACAAGGAATTGGATTTTCAACAGTATACAAATTTTCAACTGTACAACTCCAGTCCTTGTCAAGGAATAAGCAATTCAGTACAGTAAAAAATTTGGGTAAGTCCAAACCTCGTGATGTGATAGAAATTATAGTTTAAATTTCCTGCATAATGACATCTACCAAACTTTTGACTGTGATAACACAACTCACTTCAGCACATTGTATGTTACAGCGATTTAACACACAGCCTGGTAGTTCTCACACTTACCTGATCACACTGTATGTTACAGCAGTGTTCACACACAGCCTGGTAGTTCTCACACTTACCTGATCACACTGTTACAGCGGTGTTCACACACAGCCTGGTAGTTCTCACACTTACCTGATCACACTGTATGTTACAGCGGTGTTCACACACAGCCTGGTAGTTCTCACACTTACCTGATCACACTGTTACAGCGGTGTTCACACACAGCCTGGTAGTTCTCACACTTACCTGATCACACTGTATGTTACAGCCTGGTAGTTCTCACACTTACCTGATCACACTGTATGTTACAGCGATGTTCACACACGGCCTGGTAGTTCTCACACTTACCTGATCACACTGTATGTTACAGCCTGGTAGTTCTCACACAGCCTGGTAGTTCTCACACTTACCTGATCACACTGTATGTTACAGCGGTGTTCACACACAGCCTGGTAGTTCTCACACTTACCTGATCACACTGTATGTTACAGCGGTGTTCACACACAGCCTGGTAGTCCTCACATTTACAGAACCTGCAGGCTCCAGCCTCCCACGACTCACCAGGCTACAGGACAATAAACATGGAGATCGAGCATCAAGTCTTCAGGAAGCTCTAATTTCTAATTGTTCTAAAATAAAATAAATGTTGCAACATTTTGTCCTTTGAATTAATCAGATCTGTACAAAGAAGGCAAGCATCCACAAGCCACTGACAGCTTCAACATTAGGAACAATATTTTGCAGAGCAAAAGCCAAGAAATGTTGTTGCTTGAAATTGTAAAGAAGTCACAAATTCAACCATCTATGGCATCCCAGTGACTTGAATAATAACCTAAGCCAACTACAAAGGCAATTGCTGTCTTTGTTCAATGCTTCTGTTCTATATTGTATACATATAAGTTTTGATTGGTTTTTAAGCCTAGCACAGTGTCTATATACCTCATATATCTAACCCCATCATACTGTAGTTGCAGGCACAGTTGGTTTGTAACACTTTGATCTGTATTGTGTAAGGATTGATTGGTTGGTAGGTTGTTAAGCCTAGCACAATGTGTAATACTATGTACCTCATATCTAACCCCGTCGTAGTAGCAGGCACAGTTGTTGGGTTCGGCCACACAGTGTGTTCCCTTCCACACGTATCCGCTAGGACAGGGCTGACACTCGTCCCCGCAGGCGGCGCTGGGGTCACAGGTCATGGAGCCGTCACACCGCTCCTGGCAGTAACACTCGGGGGAGCACACTGGGTGGGGGGGGGGAGAAGGGAAAAATCAATTTCACCCAATAAAACATGTAACATTCATTGTAGGTCATAATACAGGTTTAGTACTGTAGAGTTTTTAAGCTGGCTGAAACAGAACCAACAGCAGACATGGGTTCAAAACAGCCTTTTCCATAACAAGACATCTGAATTTTGCAGAACACATGCACAACCACCCAAAAATTCCCTCAATTTACAATATTGCACTATATTTACAATCATCACGCAATGTCTATAGCATTTTGTGACTTTAAAAGCAATGGTTAATAAGCTTGTCTATACGTCTATGTCATTGGCATTAAGAGATTGTTTGCAATGGAACTCCTATTCCTGTATATAGCCATGCAACACAGTAAGCAACAACAGTAAAAGAACTGCATATTAAGGAAACAAATCCAACTCACCTTTCGGTGTTGTAGACTCCGGCAGCACAGTGGTGCCAGCTGGGCTGGTGAATGCCGTGCTAAACACAGGTGCAGCTGTAACAGGTGCTGTAGTGCCAGGTGCAGCTGTAGTGCCAGGTGCAGCTGTTGTGCCAGGTGCAGCTGTTGTAGGTGCAGCTGAAGGCTTGGCTGTTGTAGCTGGAGTTGGCACACACTCACAGCATCTGTCATCTGGGTACATCTGAATCATATAACCCTGGGGGGGGGCAGAAAGTAGAAATTGAAAACTTGACCATAGATTATGACTGATATTTCACAAGGTTAGAACATAAAGTATGAACATTGGATATTGATAAAGACTTGATAAAGTCACTAGAAAGTTATAACTATTCCATCACTGCTTGGAATTCAGCACCAAGGACAGATACTACTAGAAGTATATCCTGTTTATGTCCTTTTTTCTTGGCCACCTTTTTAATATACCACCAGAAATTTGATGTCACAATCATACCTTGTTAGCAAAACTTTCTTCATCATTTCCTACAAAGATTGATTGATTGATTGATTGATTGATTGATTGATTGATTGATAAGTACTGACCTCTGCACAGTTGTCGTAGCTGAGATCACAGGCCTTGTTACAGTCCACCTGTCCCTGGTCACACACACACTGCTGGCACTCACTCTGCAGCCACATCTCTCCATGCTGGGGAATAACACAGAACAACAGTTATAATAATATACAGAACAGGCAACATACAGAACAGGCAACATACAGAACCGGCAACATAACAGGCACAAGCCTTGTTACAGTCCACCTGTCCCTGGTCACACACACACTGCTGGCACTCACTCTGCACCCACATCTCTCCATGCTGGGGAGTAATACATAAAAACATACATCATACAGAACAGCCCGAAGCTATTGCTAACATGGCTACCATACAGCACATTGACAGAATGTACTGTGTCTTTGTGGAACCTGTAAATTATATAAATGTATTGTGCATGGAACTTCTAGTTAAGTGAAATTCTGCAAAAAGTTGGCTGATCATGTAATAGCAGTATTCGATTCAACCTTTAAAAAAATGGGTGCACAGACCTTTTTACATACGTAAGTCAATGAAAATATTTGGGTGCACAGCTCCAAATTTGGTGCTTAGGTACACACGCACCCAGTATTTCTAGCCCTGTTAACCTCACCTGATACTCCTTGCCCTGATAGCTGCACACACAGCTGAGCTCGTCCCTCCCGTCTGTACACTGGACAATCCCGTCACAGATCAGGTCTTCTGAGACACACTTCCCACAGTCATCGCAGGCAACGGACCCAACAGGACACACACAGGATTGCCTGGGCATAGAAACAGTGGCAAAATGGTTATCATACATGGCATAATTGTACTTGATAAATTCAATGCAGTAGGTCATTGTACGATTTTGATGCCATCAAATTTTCAAGTCTAAGGTCAACAAACATCTGTCCTCACTGGCTGTACAGTAACCCAAAACATTTCGAGTGGCTGTCATGATCCTTGTTTTGTGGTGAATCATGAAGTAAATAAAAAAAAATCAGGCAGAGACAGTACCGAGCACTGACAAGGATGTAAGACTACCTTTTCTGCAACAAAAGTGCTCAATTTCAAATGACACATGCACAATTATTCTGAGAATGTGATCAAGCGACAATTGAATGATGTATGTGACCGAGTGCCTACAATTTACAAAATGAAGAGTGTAGAACACAGAATCTATAGAGGCCCGATATTCTAGAAAATCTTGAAAACAACAAACCTAGTAGTGGTTTGCATGGTAGTCTGTGGACGAACAGTCTCCAGCTTGTTCTGAGGCCCAGTTGTGGTGGCTGAACCTGGTGTGGTGTGTTCTGGCATTCCGGTGTAGTAAGGTTCTGTCTCACTCTCAGGTTCGGTGGTACTGTACTCTGGTCCGGTTGTGTGTTCTGGTTCAGGCTTGTAGGTACCGGTGTGGTAGGTTTCAGGTTCGGTGGTACTGTACTCTGGCCTGGTTGTGTGTTCTGGTACCGGTTTGTAGGTACCAGTACCATAGCTCTCAGGTTTGGTGGTACTGTACTCTGGCCTGGTCGTGTGTTCAGGCTCAGGCTTGTAGGTACCGGTGTGGTAGGTTTCAGGTTCGGTGGTACTGTACTCTGGTCTGGTAGTGTGTTCTGGTACCGGTTTGTAGGTACCGGTGTGGTAGCTTTCAGGTTCAGTGGTACTGTACTCTGGCTTGGTGGTATGTTCTGGCTCAGGCTTGTAAGTACCGGTGTGGTAGCTCTCAGGTTTGGTGGTGCTGTACTCTGGTCTGGTTGTGTGTTCTGGTTCAGGTTCGTAGGTACCAGTGTGGTAACTCTCTGGTTCTGTTGTTGTGTACGGCCACTCTGGTTCTGTTGTGGCTTCAGGTTCTGTAGTTGGAACTAAATTGGGTAGCAAAATTCCATATTTAATGTGAGAAAAGCTCATACATACATCTGAGTCATACTTGGGCCATGAAAATGTGCAATGTGGGTGTTCTGGCCTGTGTGAAAACTAACGGGGCTCTATCTGTTATTACACACATAAGCTTCAATACAAATGTTCCATACAATGATTTGAACATCTTTCACATGCATGTTCTATGTGCTTTTTAAATGTATCATGTTTCATGTATTTGTTTCCTTGTGTTACTTATGTCTCACAATATTCAGTTACTTATTTTCTTTGTTATGTTGAAGGTTTTACTCTTCTTGTGGTCTTGGCCTCATTGTAAATCAATTTGTCAGAATTGAATGGTCCACCCAGTTTCTTAAAATTTCAATAAATAAAGATTTAGAATAAGATAATAAATTACCAGTTTGACAGTGGCAGCAGGCATCCTCTGGGTTGACCAGCTGTTTCCCTGGAGCACAGTCCTGGATGGAGCAGTACTCGGCACACTTCAGCGCTCCGTTTATACACGTGCACTGTTCACACTCACCACGCATCACTGTCTCATTGGGCTGGGGAAGTAAGGCACAGTTACCATCTACTAGGTAGGGTAAAGGTTCTGTAGCTTTTTTGAGGATGTAGGGGCAGTTAACTTGGTATTGGATGGCAGAGCCCATCCCTCTCCTTCCACTGACTTTTACCTCCCCTACTAAAATCAGACATTCATTTGTACATGCTAGGCATGTCAAAGACACTGTCAGGAAGTTTTATCAAAGATCCCATTAACACCTTTCGTATCAGTGAAAATTGCCCTGAGGAGGATGACAGATGGTCAGACGCCCAAATGTTGGCTCTTGTTTAACAAACAATAGACCGTTGCTTTTTATTTATATAATGAGATTTGAGATGAACCTATCATGAGATGAACCTACATAACGTCAACCCACAGAACAGAGGCAAATGGTGGGCTGCCATCAAGCCCCAGTATTGCTGTGCAAGCAAGTTTAACCCTTGCCATACGGGACACCACAGACTCTAAACCGGACAGTAAGTATTGAATGTAAGTGATATTTCTGATTTCTTGGTTTGCAAAGGAAACCATCTCACCTGGTACTCCTTGCCCTGAGCCAGACAGGTGCACATGTTCTTCTCCACACACCTGCCCTCGTCATCGTACACCTGTCCCTCGGGACAGCCGCAGCACTTCCCGTTACCGTCGGCAACGCTGTCCCAGTCCTGACAGGTGCGCCCGTCCCGCAGGTCAGCGCAGGAGAGCGTGCAGGTGCAGAACCTGGGGGTGTTAGTTTATTTACTCATTCGTACATACAATCATGTGGTACACATTTGGAGGTCATGGCAGCCCAGGAGATGAATTCCAGACCCTTCTAACAAATCACCAACTTTTAAAATGTTCTATATACAAGTTAAAAACGTAATTATGTTGGATCCAGAGTGTTAAAGCTCACATTCCCGATAACTTACAGGCATTCATTGTTCAAAAGTTTAGTTAAGTGATAGATAGGACTCCTTGTTCAAGGTTTGAAAGTCTGTGGCAGGTTACTGGATCTAGTCTTCCGGCCAGACACAACCTCACCCCAACCTTGTATGTACGTTTTTATGTTTCACGAGCAAAGGATCCTTATAAACACATTATGTGCTTTCCGTCCAATTCTCACAAATTTATGTGGATAATATAAACTAACCTGTAGGTGGCACCCTGGGCAGAGCAGATTTTCGGGGTGGTGGTGGAGGGTTGGGTGGTGAGGGGGACGCAGACTGGACAACAGGAGTCTGACACACTGGCCAACATGGTTCCCTGCAAATGGGAGGAATCAAATCAAAAATTTGGCTACTATAGAGCCTTGGCTAGCAGAGCTACAAGGGAAGGCAGATGAGGTGCGGCCACGGGGTCACTCCTACCGAGCTCATGGCTCTGTGACATTATGGATTGAACCGGAGAGACGGCAGTTCTGCTGGCTAGAATGGCAGACGATAGTCAGTTAAAAACCTTTAAAAGTTTGTGGACAGACAGAATGGCCTACAGCTACTACACTACATGTAAGTCAGTGAGACCCCTGGGTAGAATATTATGTAATACAAAACAAACAAGCAACTCTAAATAACAAACAAACAAGGAAGCTATTCTCTGAAGAGTCAGGCATTTCAGACAGCATCTGATATCAGCATCAGATGTCACCAGTGACCCACCTCCTGACAGGTGATGTACATTCTGCCAAAGTGCCTGTCTACCATACCTACAAAAAGGTCTGCTTAAACATGCACTTAAGTTCAACAAAAGATGGACAGCTCAGCTCACCTCCTGACAGGTGACGTCGGCACATGAGGCCATGGCACAGCTGATCTGGTTGTCGAAGCAGGTGCAGGTCTCACACTGGGTCTTCTGCCAACTCTCTCCAGGCTGGGAAAATCAATCAATCAATCAATGAGTTATTCAATTAACTAACCAATCAATGAGGTAAATATTTTATTGATTTATAAATAACTTAAAACTGAGTACATGTAAATGATGAGTTACAAGTTCTCTCTCAGAATGAATCATTTGAAATTCATATAAAATCAGAATTAATACAAGCCAACACCATAATGCCCGGGACAGCAACTGGTAGGCAAAAAATGGGTGACAATTGGGTGATTTGCATAAAAGTCTCAAATAACGTTGTCTTCTTAGATAAAATGCTGTCCTAGAATATCTGTGGTTGATTCTGTCAACAGCCTGCTTGAAAATTCTACATCATCAAAATCACACGACAAATATGACCTAGCTCTAATGCTCACCCTTCTGATTTCCCCACCGTCATCCTTACAGCTACAGTCCAGTGGGTCCACACAGTTTCCTGTGGAGTCCAGAACCTTTCCCTGGTGACACACACAGCCAGACTTACACCCCTCAGGCTCTACACAGTCAGCCTGCAGCATGTGGCAAACCTTAGGACAGGCTGGAGCACAGGCAGAGGGGGTCTTCCCAAACTCACACTCTGGAAAATGGTTGGAAAATTAGTTATGGCCTCAGCATCTTTTCTTGGTGACAGTTCTGTGCACTCTTCCTGTTTCTAACTCACACTCTGGGAGAAACAAAGACTGAAGCAAGGTATATAGTAGTCTAAGAATGATTTGCATTGCAGAGTGAAACTGTGACAGGACTTTTTGTGACATGTACAATGTTTGTGCAATTATGTGAGTATGAGAAATCTCTGATATTTACCTGGCAGTGGTGAGGTGTATTCTGGCTCAGGCCTGGTGCTGACTGTTACTCCAGTTGTGGGTACAGCTGTGGTCTCTGGGTAGGGAGCTGTAGAAAATATGTCACGATTACTAAGTCTTAAATACTATAATTTCACTAAATAGTATTTAGGTCACAGGAAATGATCAAATCAGTTAGAATGTCATAGTCTGACTGTGGTAATAGCATTTACTTGTAGTTGTCTCCACAGCACAGCTCTCTCCTGTACAGGCCAGCTTGCCACTTTCACATGTGCTGGAATGAATAAAGATCATAGTTAGTTAAGACTGCATCAAGACTAGTATTGCTAGGAAAAGCCAAATACAATTGCAAACTATTGCAGCATTGTATACAGGAAAAAAGAATAATCATTGACTTACATTTTGGTTGTTTAGGCTTTATAAAAAAAGGAGATCCACAACCATCAACCAATTTATAAGCTGGCAATATCATTTTCAATTTTGCCAGAAAGTACCATTTTTCTATTATCAAGATTCTGCAGTTTTTAGGCTTCAAAACTGTCCTTGGACACTTCTGGATTTGTAAACATGGAAAAACCTAGGACACTTCTGAATGTATACTTATATTAGATAGAAAAAAGCCTACCATCTCTGACAGTCAGCAATGACGACCTCTCCTGGCATGAGCTCCTTGCCGTTGTAAACACACGGGCACTGGACCGGCGTGATGCACTTCCCATCATGCTGCACGGTGCCGTTGGGGCAGTGGCAACCCTCCACGCAGGACGTGCTGCACTGCTCGCTGGCGTACAGGTTATAGCAGGTCTTTGGGCAGGAGGTGCCGCAGGCCTTGTACTCCTTACCATTCTCACACTGCATGGCTGGAATGATTTAATACATAGCATTGAGTACATCACAGCACAAAATCCCTAGTTTCCGTGTGAGAAATTGCCGCACACTTTCCCGGATATTTTAGGTTTCCGGTAGAACCCGGGGGTTTCAGACCTGCACACGAAACGTGTCCAGTCCCGTACATGTCCTGTACACTCCCGGAAATGAACCACTTTTTGTGTGCAGGTCGTGTACTGGACGTTATATGCCCGGACACGATCCCTGTACATCCCCGTACACGGCAGGAAATGGCCGTGCACCGCTCCGTGCGTTGCTGGAATATGCATAATTTAGCGGCAATTATCACCTAATCATTCTCCACACGGCAGCGGAAATTCGCCGTGTACGGGTCGGACATGCCGGTACTACACCCCCCCCCCCCCGGCCAAAACCCCGCCCCGCTCTCGGGACCGGTTGCTCCCGTTCCCGGGACCCGTTGGTCCCCATTCCCCGGGGGCCCTGCTGTTCCCGTTCTCGGGACCCCACTGCACCCACTACGGGGACCCCCCTTCCTGCTCCCGGGGCTTCGCTGCCCGGCTCCCGAGAAATCGCTTCCCCCGCTCCCGGGACACATTTCGATGTTTTAGGAACACATTTCATTCATAAAAAAAGTAATACATGTTTATACTTCATTCATCGTTTTATTGGTATAAACAGGATCGCCATTTACAGACTGACAAAAATAACGCTCTATGTATAGTGTATACACGTTATGCACTATGCTAACACTATACAATAATGTAAACCTGGTACTTTTACAAAAAATGTGTAGCCGAAACATAGAAACAATAGCTTTTTCCCGAACTAGCCTTCCAGGGACTAGACTTTTAAATCGTTGGACCCGGTGTAAACTCAGAAATTACTAGTAATTAACAGATTTCTCTAACTTTAAAAAGTAAACTAACATCACATCTCATCACAGTCACCTCCAAATAGAAGTCCATTTTAGGAAAAATGTCAAAAAGTAACTAATACTGACATATCATCAGGTTAAAAGAGGAAAATAGCCCTCAGATCATGAAAGTGAATGGCGCTTACACAAACAGTCAAAAGACTAAATTTTCAATAAACTAAGAAGGCCTCAAACAAAGTTCTTCAAAATACATGTACGTGTAGCAAAAACATAATGGCAGACCTAACATGAAGTTAAATGAGGCTTGGCAGAAAACAATATCACGTCATTACAAAAAAGATCATTTGCTCAGAAATTAATTACATGAACACGTATTCAATTTACAATGTCGTTAAAGACAAGCTGTCGGTTTCGTAAAGTTTGCGTTGTCGCCTCTACAAAATGAGGCTTAGTTGTAGATTGAAGGCCAGGAGGTATGCCCCCCCCCCTGCTTCAGGGGACCATAGCGAAATGTTTTCATCCTGGAAGGACAAACTGCCCCATGTCTGTCTGCGGGATGGCGTGGTGTTGGTGTCGGTTGTGATCGCAGTCAGGCCGGAGCGGCGTGCTGGGCGCGGGGTGCACCCCGGGCGGGAGTGCAGCGGGGCCGGCCTGGGTCGTCGGAGCCTGCCGGGCGCTTTAACACAGCACCCTCGCCTTTAGATCTGAGCCTGGGTGTGCGGTCTGCCTGTTTGCCTCCAGCCTGGCCTGCAGGACATGGAAAAACGAAAATCTAAGTCAAAAGTCGAAGGCATTTTTGAATTTCATTTGAAGTTACGTGTACATGTACTGGACGTTTTATAAACAAGCCTGGCAAAGATGCGGACGTCTGTATGGACACATTTCGAGGAGAAGTCATTTATCATTTTTAACGAATGTTTTTAACGTCAGACAGCAACAATTTTGTCCAGATGAAAAGGCTCCATTCATCAAGCATCAACGTCTACTTGTTTCTTTTCATTGTAATCATGGGAACAATACAAACACAACATTTCCCTCGGTAATGAAAACAATTCAAATTGTCAAGAGCCTTGTCGGCCTTCGTATGCAAAGATATACATTTGCATAGACTCACCCTCTTCTGTGTGACTGCAGTCGCTTTTCTTTCTTTCTTTTCTGAGCTCTCCGACAGCCTGGCGATAAAGTTTCTTCAAATCGTCTCAAAGTATCCCAAATCCGCGCCTGAAAAAAGTACATATGTTCTGAGCAACATACAAACTATATCGATGTACTTCTAAGTAGAAATAATAAACTATGTTATTAATCAGTAAAAAAATAGTGTACACTTCTTGCCAAAATAAATATTTCTGCCGTAGGCACAACTTAGCCAAGATTTTTAAACAACATGTTTAAGATATATGTAACGATAGTGCCGTATATATAATAGTATCCTTGTTTTAGCTTACCCTTCCTCCTGTCGGTTTCCTGGTTCGTTGCGGTGCTGTCGGCAAATTGTCGGCCCGTGTAGTAGAGTCATTTCTTCCGTTGCGAAAACGAAGTAACAGAACGGAATGTTTGACGCCATTTTAGTTCAGGAACATACTAGTAATCTTTGCAAGCCGAGACGAACGTGTTTTGAAAAAGCAAACCGTCGTTGTGACAAAGCAAGATTCAAACGACCCACCAAAACAAAGCATCGCGTCTCTTATTGGCTGGTCCCGGCGAGAGCGAGGTAGGATTGGTCGTCAGTCATATAATCACGTGATTGCGTTCAACACTACAACGATCTTGTTTTTATATTACAGATTTTAAGTTAAATCGCCTGTGCAGTCTGAACACTTGGATGATAGGATGTTACTGATTGTGTGAATGTATTTATTTCAAGGCAGACAAATGATCTTCATAATTCTAATTCGTCATGATTACATGGCTTTATTCGTTCTAGAATTACACAACTTGTCGCTCACTGAGTGAAATAAAACCGCACTTCAACTCCAACATAACCTTACTCTTTGTAAATGTATCCAAAATCCACAAATAATGTCATGAGGGTTGACTTGTTTTGCTGGATTTCAGTATTTTACCAGGCGTGGGGACGCTGTGAGTTCTCCCTTTGTTTACACAAAGGCTATTCACATAAACGGACGCCATGTCAGACACATCGCAATACACATCGACCGAACTACAATGTAAAGCTTGCATATTATTACCCATACATGTACCTAAAAATCATAGCAAACTGATCAGGTCATGTTAGTTCAAACCCCTTTAGTCAAGCGTTTGATTACATCATGGTAATGAACCTCACGGATAAACTATTATTTCCAAAATAAAAAAAATTCAGATTTAGACCGGAGTGTAGATTTAGGTCATTTTGACCGAGGAGGTCATATAACCCCAGCGTCTGGGCGCCCTACGCTCAAATGTGCTTTGTCGTATGGACGACATCACGATAAATCAAGCCAAGGACGCATAGGTTCAAATGTTGTATTAATAATCCTTGATCATTCTATATCTAATTTGCTTAGATTAAAGTGCTGGCAATTTTGGTTCAAGTAATTATCACCTGAAACATGAATACACGCAGTACCTAATTACCCCTTATTGTTAGCCACTCCCCAACACACGCCAAGTGTGCGGGGCGTAAATTTCCTTGCACGTGCACGGCGAGCACGATTCCGGGAGTGTAAGGAAATATCCGGGGCCGTACACGCGGAGCCCGGAAATCCATGGACGCGACCAGGACACGGCGAATTTCACGAGCGTGTGCGGGACTGGAAACTCTTGGAAACGTGGTTTTTCATACAGTGCATGTTAAAAAAAGTTAAGATTGCCAGGTAATAATGCACTGCTCGCTGGCGTACAGGTTGTAGCAGGTCTTTGGGCAGGAGGTGCCGCAGGCCTTGTACTCCTTACCATTCTCACACTGCATGGCTGGAACGATGTGATAGCATTGAGTAGTTGAATCGAACCTTTTAGACCTTAATGATGGAGAAACTCACACCCCATAGGCCACAGCAAGTAAATTCTATTGATGACATCCTCTGGAGGCTTCAAATATAATGCAAAAGTGAAAAAAAAAAATTAAGATGGCTCGCTCGCATTGCATTGCTGGAAAAATTGATAGCATTGAGCGGTTGTATAAGCATACACGTACATTAGGGCTGTGTACCTAAATGTAACATCAGGTATAGGTAAACAGGTTTAGGTATTTGCCTGGACCTAAACAAACCAGTACCATGTGGACTGTTTTTTGCCTCATACAATACTCCAGCTGTGCTTAAAAGATCTGTTGCATATTTAATAATATGCTCCTTCTAGATGTCACTTCTAAAACTATTACACAAGGTGTACTCACCACATCTGCCGTTCTGTCTCCAGCGAATAGCAACGCCCTTCTCGTTACACTCGCGAGTGTACGCAGCGACGGCCGTACAGAAACACTCGCAGTCTCCGCCGCGGTCACACCCGCACGCGTCAAACACACACTTCTCAAAGAACGGCTCCGGATCAGCCTGGAAATGGAAGCAGGATAAATAGTTGAATAAAGGGAAATTTTTCATACAGTTTGAAATTGTCCCTTTGCCCACACAGGGTGTTGATGATTGGTTTATTAAGAAATCATAATCTGACAATGGCAGTCAATTGACTGAATTGGTGTCAGACTTACATGATTGTACATCAATATGAAAACCAATCATTAGTGAATAAAAACTTGTACCATATACAACTAAAAGAGCAGCATGTATAAAAATAGGTATTCAACAAATCGGATGCAACATTTTAGTGTTTAGAATCACGTATAGCTCACAGATGGTAGTATCATCACATATTGAGTTTCTAATTGTCTTTCTACCTTCTATATCTTGAATGCTGTAAACCCTTTCTATATGAAGTTATAGGATACTGTAAATAAAGTCCAGAGAAACTGACCACAGCGTGGCAGGGCTGGAACATGCTGCTCTTGACCACACTGCAGGCATGGTTAGCCCACTGCAGCCTCTCGGGCCGGTGGTCACACGGATGCTCCAGCTCATCCTCCGCTGCTGGACATGTCATAAACACTCGCCAGCTGTCAGCAAAGTTCTGAACAACAGGAAGAGAGGAAAAAATGTCATCAACTCATCCATGAAGGTTAGACATCCAGATAATAAGATATCGCCAAAAAAACAGTTACTCAAGCAACTGGGTATGATTTTGGAAACAGTACGTAACTTTTTTTTGGTAATGTTATTAACTATACATTTGAGTCAATGTACTTCTTTAATATTACCATTACTAGATAACACTGGCATTTACAACTGAAAGAGGTAACACGATGCTGCTTTCCTTGCAGACTACAACCTTGACAAGTTCCAAGACAGTTTCTGATCATATAGGAACATGCATAACATCTGTCAAGAGAATATTTGTAATTTGCATCCTTTACATCAAAATAGAAACACTTTTAACCCCAAAATTGTCCCGTACCTTTGCCCTCTGCTCGAGTTCTCCCTGTCGTGTTAAGAAGTCGTTCATGGCATTCCCATCGTAGTTCCCACACAGACCGCACACCTGCCCCATGTACTTAGGCTCCAGCTTTACATACACTCTGGTGCCAACATCCCACATCAGGCTCATTCCTGAAATGAAAACAAGAAAGAAACTAATTTAAGCAGCTAAAATGTGGATGGATCAGGGATTAAATTTCTTGCTACAGAAAAGTGCAAACACGAATTCAGCACCAAGGACAGGGCCCTTCAGATAAAGGTAGTCCTGTAGCCTTTTTTGAGTCTCTAGGGGCAGTGGGTTGCTATCCACTGTGTCTAGGGCACGGTATTGGAAGGTGGAGCCCATCCCTCTCCTTCCACCATCTTTTACCTCCCCAGCTGAAGTCAGGTACCCATTTTACACCTAGGTGGAGCGAGGAAAACTGTGTAAAGTACCTTTCCAAAGGACAAAACAACTCACTGCCACTATGGTCTCAATCAAGTTATGGGACTACCTGTACCTTTTATGTTTACATACGATCAGCAGAATCTTACCATACGGAGTCTTGACAATAAGGAACAGGCCGGCCTTCTGTATCCTGTACTTTGCGGGCGGGTCGCTGGGTTTAGCGTAGGGGTTCCGTGAGATGGCGGGATCGGAACCCCGGATCAGGTGGATGACCGTGTCGTACAGGGTGACCTTGACAGACTTGGTGCAGGTGACCCCACCCGTTCCGCAGGGGACGTTCTCCACGCTGACCTTGAAAGTTCCGACCTGATCGCTGCAGAAGTCTTCAGCAAGGACGTAGCTGCAAGATCCTGGGATGAAGAAAAGGAAAAAAAAGGCTTAGACACGATCAAATATCTTTTTAAAGGTGACTAATATGTAAAACATTTCATACTGTTTAATAAATTGATAAAAGAATAACGTTAAATGATAACAATATTTTGCAGTGGGTGCTTATTATAGCCAAAGCCTATATTTCATAACACATATTATTAATGAAATATCTACATCTAATGGCAGTCTGCCCAGTTGTACCCTACAATGTAAATGCAATATCTAGACAAAATCTGTACATAGATTATTGTGTTCATACATGTGTATACTACACATGTATTACAATTAATTATAGGTTGATAAATAGAAGTGTACCATGGAACTCAAAGTGCCTCTTGTCAAAAGTCTCATAGTGAGGATCTCCATATGCTGAGCAAATGGCTGGAAAAAAAAAGAAATATCAAAATAACCATTATATATAAAAGTACTGATTCTATTCAGTTTACTTCCAAAAATGGCTGACTCACAGTTGAAAGGCTACACAATCTTTTGCATACATCAGTACAGTAGAATAAGATGTGTTATTATTTGAATGTTCATCAAAACTCTCATACTTACCTGGGCATTTCTTGTTGGTGCACTGCCATGTGCTTCCAAGGCAGCGGCTAGGAAGGGAAGGAAAGAAGGACAAAGTTAAACATTATTGTAGAAAAAAATTAGTTGATCATTTGGAAAAAAAGCGTAAGAAGATTGTGTTTCTCCATTCTAAGATAAGATACACTTATAAGCATATGATACAAGAAAATCTCTCTTCATGTACATGTAGGTATGCTTATGTTGGTTACAGATTGGTTAAGAATGTTATATTACTCCTACCATCTGTTACAGTCCTTCTTGATGACCTGTCCTGACTTGTAGCTCCTCCCCTCGTGGTAACACGGACACTGATCCTCAGGAACACACTTACCACCCTCTGTCACTGTGCCCTGCAGGGGTGCAGTTCAAAAAGTACAATGTAAGAACTGTGATATGTGTATAATACATGTAGCTGTTAGTCCTGACTTGTAGCTCCTCCCCTCATGGTAACACGGACACTGGTCCTCAGGAACACACTTACCACCCTCTGTCACTGTGCCCTGCAGGGGTGCAGTTCAAAAAGTACAATGTAAAAACTGTGATACATTTTGTATGTGTATAATACATGTAGCTGTTAGTCCTGAATTGTAGCTCCTCCCCTCATGGTAACACGGACACTGGTCCTCAGGCACACACTTACCATCCTCTGTTACTGTGCCCTGCAGGGGTGCAGTTCAAAAAGTAACAACTGTGATATGAGAATGGAATTGTTATGCAAGATCCAGTGTGACTCCCTGGATGTAATAAGCACACGGGATCAGTCATGTGTATATAAATGTACATGAAGCTGTTAGCCCAGACTTGTAACTTAGCCCTTCATGGTAACACGGACACTGGTCCTTAGTAACTGACACTTACCACCCTCTGTTACAGTGCCCTGCAGGTGTGCAGTTTGAATGGTTGACATAAGAAACACTTTGCAGGTAAGGCTGTGTACATTGTACAATACTGAATATCAGTGTATAGGGTACTGAAAATGAATTAACACTTGCTCTTTGACAAGTATAACTTATATGCTTCTTTTGTGACATAAGTCATGGCATATTTATCGCAGTTTAACATGTAGTAGAAGAGGTCATAATGCATAAAACAATCTCTAAATACAGAGGTTATAATCATTATATCGTCAATTTTTTATTTATTCAAAGAACCATACAGAAAGAAAAGAAATTTTGTAGCAGTTTGATTCAAAGGCTTACATTTGGACAGGCACAGCCCTCCTTGCAACTGGACGGCTTGCACTCCACGTGCATGTTCAGACAGGACCTCTCACACTCTACACAGGACGACCACACCTTGCCACCAGTACAGAGGGATTGCTCTGCAGAGAAAAAAACATATAGAATTTGGACTTCATAAAACACAACTCCCAGCACTGAGAACTACATATCATACTAGCATCATATCTAATTGTGTTCAATTGTGCGGATTTAACAGTGGACAACACTGTACAATAAATTCAAAGCATCCATTTACCAAAGAGAGGGAAAACGTTGATGTGACTCAATTTATCTAACTGTATTTCTCATGATAAAAGTATGAGTTTTTCAAATAGCAGATGCAATAGACAACTTACCATCACACTGTTTATCCTCTGCACAGCTGAAGACACCGTTCTTACAGGTGCTGAAAAAGATAAGATATATAAAGAAAAATTAATGTCTTCTCCTTCTTCTTACTGCCAAGCACCTCAACATGGGATTATTGGCAGGTTGCGCATATTTTAGTAACATGTGACCTGGTACATACAAACAAGGGACTGTCATTTTACTTTCTTACACATCAAAGTGGAATCTGTCTTACCTGAGGGTAAATAACTTAGTTTACACTATTTTTAAATCATAGCTGTAGGTTGCCATACAATATTTATTGACCTAAGTGATCATTTTTTAAAGTTCAAACCAACCAGAATTGACAGTATGAATGAAGATGACAGACGGTCATCAAAACATTAGCTCATGTAAAACAAATGGTTTCACTTGAATAAAAGAACTTTACTATTCACGAACTGACCATAGTTGACACTTGTTGCGCCTGGTTTCCCCTGCCTTGTACAGGTTCCCTCTGTAGTAACACGGACACTCCTCCACAGCCACACATGTACCACTCTCCTCATCCCACGACTCGCCCTGGAATCAAATAAAAATACTGTGGGGAAACTTAAAGCAAAAGGAACAAGAATTCATAGTTTTCAGACATCGATGAAGGTTAGACATCCAGGTAATGAGATACATCACAGTGACTCTACAAATGGCAAATGGAAGGTGAAAAGGGTGCCATTGCACATTTGTTGTAGTCTTCGAGGTCATGGGAGTAAAGTACCGTAGTGTAATTATCTACTGTACAGTTACTGTGTCTAGGGCATGGTATTGGAAGGTGGAGCCTATCCCTCTCTTTCCACTGCCTTTTACCTCACCAACTGAAGTCAGGGATCAATTTTACACCTGGGTGGAGTGAGGCTAAAAAATTACTTTCTCAATGACACAAAGTCTAGCCAGAAATGCCAGAAATTGAACCCATGACCACTTAATATTGTATCTTCTAGACTAGCTACCCGGCCATTCGACACCACAAAATGGAAGATTCCTGTGTATACTATCAGGACAGAACCTTACCTTGGGGCAGTTACATCCCTCGGCACACTCCTCTGTGCAGGGCTGCTGCTCACTGATCTGTCTGCAGGTCTGGGCACAGGTGGGACCGCACTCCTGCCACACACGGCCGTTAGAACACTCCATAGCTGTAAACAATAAACAATAATAACAATAAAAACAAAAACAAAAATAACAACAATCACAGCAACCAAGACCTAACCAAACACAACATTTCAACAGAATCCATAGCTCCATGGCACAAGTAAACACTGCTACACAAACACTGTAGCTGTTGCAAACACCATGAACAACACTACCATGGCAAAGGTAATGAATTAAATTATTTTCACACACTTTTGTTTGAGTTCTCGAATCAATGTTATCAAACTCAAGGAAGGGAAAGGTACTTACGGCAAGTGTCGTTGGCCCTCCAGTCGATGACCCGTCCCTCCAGGGCACATTCTCGAGCGTAGGCAGCGAAGATGGTACACTTACAACTGTCAGGGTCTGCATCTGGGGTTTGGAAGGCATCAACACAATTTTACAATAAAATTCTACAATTTTACACTACAGAGATACCACACTTGGGTCAGTCTACTGACGAAGACCAGAGTGACTGGTCGAAAGCTCTTGGTGAGAACAATCCTTTGGGTTTGAAAGAAAGTTTTAACTTTAAAAAAGATGATAATTATACAATATCATCTCACTGACAGTCAAATCTCATCTGATACAGTCGGTCTTACACCTTGAACCTTGAACGGTCTTACACAGCTTGTACTGTACTGCTGTGTCATGCCTGAAGGTAGTTTAATGGTTACGAAAAACAAACAAACAAACTTACCTCTGGCTAGACACATGCAGAGGTCACTCTCACACTGTGAGATGAAGGTCCTCGGGCTGACAAACTCGCTACAGGCCAGGAACGGCCCAGCCTTCAGCTGCTCACAGACGGACAAACAAACAAACAAACAAGCAAACAAACAAACTTACCTCTGGCCAGACACATGCAGAGATCACTCTCACACTGTGAGATGAAGGGCCTCGGGCTGACAAACTCGCTACAGGCCAGGAACGGCTCGGCCTTCAGCTGCTCACAGACGGACAAACAAACAAGCAAACAAACAAACAAACAAACTTACCTCTGGCCAGACACATGCAGAGATCACTCTCACACTGTGAGATGAAGGGCCTCGGGCTGACAAACTCGCTACAGGCCAGGAACGGCTCGGCCTTCAGCTGCTCACAGACGGACAAACAAACAAACAAACAAGCAAACAAACAAACTTACCTCTGGCCAGACACATGCAGAGGTCACTCTCACACTGTGAGATGAAGGGCCTCGGGCTGACAAACTCGCTACAGGCCAGGAAAGGCCCAGCCTTCAGCTGCTCACAGACGGACAAACAAACAAACAAACAAACAAACAAACTTACCTCTGGCCAGACACATGCAGAGGTCACTCTCACACTGTGATATGAAGGGCCTCGGGCTGACAAACTCACTACAGGCCAGGAACGGCCCGGCCTTCAGCTGCTCACACACAGACTTGGCGTAGGACTTGTAGGTGGGGTGGATGGTACAGGCATCCATGGTCACTCCTGTGGAGAAGTATAAGAGATTAATATATGAGGTAGACACTCCAAACTCACAGGTACACTCAACAATTCTACTGGACTAGGTACATAGACTAGACTCTCATCTGGATACTCTTAATGTGTTAGAGGGGTTTTCCATTTACAAATACTAAATTTTAAGTAAATTGATTGATCCTGGCATAGGACTTGCAAGTGTCCATGGTCACTCCTAGGGGGATGGAAAAATTTTATATGCAGGGTAGAATTTCCAATTCCACTGGTATAATTGGCAATTCTACCAGTAGAGATCCTGATCAAAGTCTTCATTAACACAGACCCTGATCAGGTTAAAATTGAACAGATATAGCCAACTTCAGTCAATATTGACCATGGTAAAATTATAATTATCAGCACTTAGTAGTCTACAGCTTTGGCTGTAGGAGAACAACAGTCACTGCCAAATGGGGAAAATTTGTGAGCTGACACAGGCACATGTCCATTTCAGAGTTCTTTTCTCTTATGCTTGTTGCATCAGTGAGGACCAACATGTACACACATACCCACCAAAAACAATATTTCCGTACTTGGAGGTAAATGTAGGTATCTATAGAAAAAATATGTAACACTACAATAGATGGGTTGAAACATAAAAACTCAAAGAGCTAACCTGTAGGTACATCAGCGCAGTCACTGTTGGTTTTCCAGGAGTTGACAAAAGTTGCTGTGTTCACCACCGTGTCATCATTCGGCGTCTCAAAGTCATCTTGTTGGTTGTAGTTGTAGGTGCCACACAAGCCATACACCTGGAGTAAATGTGATATTACATCAATTTTAGACGAAAGGAAAAGTTACACATTTTGGTTTACTTATAAAATTAATGGTGTCTACATCCAGTATCAAAAATAAGGAATTTTGAACTGTATACATAATTCAAATTTATACAACAATTTCAGCACCAAGGACAATGCCCGTCAGTGCTAAACTGCTTTGAAAGTTTTCTGCTTATAGATCGTTGTTCTGAGCACAGTCATAAGAATAACTAACAGTAGTTGAACACACAGTGCTAGCAATGCACTATCCCCCTGCTGTAACATAGCTGTTGGACCAAGTGCTAACAGAAACAGAGATGAGTGCCACCGATACCCATATACACCATATGGTTTGGGAAGGAACTTTTTAATCGAGCTAGCCTACATGTGCTATGCAGTAAAAACATACTAATTGTATGATCCAATTTATAAATCATATCAATGTACATTTTGACTCTGTATCAATAGTATGTAACAATTCAGGGTTAACTCTTAACAATAGTCTATGACTTGTTGGGCAACCCTTGCTGCTGTATTAATAAATGAACTGATAAATAAAAAAAATACATGTATATAACCAGCCCACCTCCCCAGCATGTTGCGGCAGGAGTTTGATGTAGATCCTGTATCCTCCGTCCCAGACGACCTCCAGGCCAGCGTCAGTCTCAAACCTGGACAGCGCAGACGACAGCCGGCGCACGGCTATCCCGTCACCCTGGTACGGCAGGCTGATGTCTGTGTCGTTGTAGTTTATCCTGTTCAGGTTCTTCAGCCTGGTTTGGGTTAGAGACACAGAAATGATGACTTTAGGAGACTAACAAAGAGAAATGAGACAAAATTTGCAAGTAGTGCAATACATGTCTCAATTTTTTTGTCTCAAGTGCGTCTGTGGTTTGCAATCTGCAACAGCAGAATACCTGAAAATGATCTCTATGCGTCAAACCTAACATAAATTCATGTTGATAGCTAAAATTCCTGAATAGTATTTCAAAGACACCTGTGGTTTCTTCACAATGTCTTAAAATTCCTTTCAAATTCCAGTGTATACATTTCAGACTGACTGTGACTGTTTTCCTATCTTTAACAAAAGCGGCGATAGCTTTTTGGCAATGCTCAGTTGGAAAAATTCTTTTTTCACAGAAGAAATGGAAATGATGGAAGGATGTTTTCAAACACTGTACCTATAGATAGCCCCATCTCCAATCTGCACAGACAGACTGTGAGCACACACACCCTCATCCTCGAGTGCACAGTTGGAGTTCTCGACCCACACGATAAACGGCTTGGCGGTCCCGGCACGTTTCTGGACCAGCACGTACTCGCAGTTTCCGGTGAACTGGAACTGCCGACCGTCGAACGTGGTGTAGTGTGACTCGCCGATGACGGAGCAGGTCGCAGGACAGATGTTGGTAGTGCAGGTCCACTTTCCACGCTCACATTTGCTAGCAGAAGGAGAATTTTATGGTTATTGTTTGAAAAAATTGTTTTCACTTATTTGCATATCAATCAATAGTTCGTACCTACCGGTACCAACCTGCTTTTCTGAATACTCTCCAGTGTCCCTGACAAAAGGTTGTGGATGCTACTTGAAACATCTGACCGTTTCCAAAATCAGATGCTTGAGTAACTTTTTTTGGGGGGGGGGGCATATTGTTTCAAAGGTTTTTTAACACTTGGGCAAGGTCTGTCCTTGGTGCTGAATGTAACCATCAGGTTAAAAAAGCTTAAATCTTGATTTGACTTGAATACATGACAGGTTGCAGGAGATATTGGAGGAGAATTTTATGGTTGAATGGTCTAAAAATGACAAATTTGGCAGGAATGCAATCATACATGTAGACTGTCAAAGATTTATTTAATATAAAGTCTGACTTGTTTCCATCTCTCACCAGTCATTGCAGCCGTTCTGCGTGACCGCCCCAGGTGAGTACTGCTGTCCCCTCAGCATACACGGGCACTGTTCCCTGGGTACACAGTTACCTCCATCCCACAGGGTTCCTGGGGGGGAAAAAGGAAAAGTAAGTAAGGTAAAATAACATTATGAATATGAATAACATTCGAATAATGGCACCTACATTAGCTACATATGGCAGCAAGAAATAGCACACCTAAAGACACAAAGAATGGTTCTCATGTAGAGCTTTTAACCAGTTACTCTGGTCTTCCTCGGTAGACTGACCCAGTGAGACTTGTCACATGTTTTGTCTGAAGTGTGACTGGTCGAAAGTTCTGGGTGAGATCCATTCTTTGTGTTTGATCGAAAGTTTTAACTTCAAACAAACAATGTCTATCATCTGTTGATGAAGGTTAGACATCCAGGTAATACAATACGCCAAAAAGCAGTTACTCAAGCAACTGGATATGATTTTGAAAATGTTTTCAAAATCATATCCAGTTGCTTGAGTAACTGCTTTTTGATGTATATCATCATACTAGTAGAAGTAGTAGTAGTAGTAGTTTTACCCACCTTTAGGACAGTGGCAGCCGTCCACACAGGCCTCGGTGCACTCCAGATCAAAGTCTGCATTCTCACATGTCTTCGGACAGGACGTGCCACACTCTGTGTACACCTGACCATTGCTGCAGGACTTAGCTGAGGAGGGGGGACGGCAGATTGAGTAAAGTTAGCATCTTGGACTCTGAGTTAGACTTTTTGCACGAGGTATTAAAGAGGCCATGTATTACAATCTTCAACCAGGTGCCGCAGACTTTCTGCAACCGATATAAGGATTCTTTATTGACACAACAAAAAAGTACAGGGACGTTTGTATTGGTCTTTTACAACTTAAGATCTAACAAAGCTAAATACATGTATGGATAACGTCATCTTACAGACTGAGTATATGCATTATGTAACAAATAAAGGTTTAACTATTCTCTAACATGTGTTCTCTAAGATCAAAGCATTCTTTAATGTATTTTCCTATTTATGATCCACTGTTCATTGAGTTACGTGTGTCATCTGCACAACGTGACGTCACAGAAGCGGTGGATTGCTCATTCTTTGACCGGAGGTGTACAATCAAAATTTGGATAAGTCCAACTTATTGAACAGTAAATACATAAATAAATGAACTCACGGCACAGGTTTTCATTCCTCCACTGCAGCTCCACTCCCTTCTGCGCACACATGCGGGAGTACTGCGTCAGCGCGTCACAGCTGCAGTCATTTATACTCCCCAACCTGACATGAAACAACGGAAAGGAAACAAAACCTACAGTGGGTATCACTGGAAGACAGAAAAAAATGTTTATACTCCCCAACCTGACATGAAACAACGGAAAGGAAACAAAACCTACAGTGGTATCACTGGAAGACAGACGAAAAATGTCCAGACTATGTGCAAAATGACTAATGAACTGGTGGACATAACAACTACTAAGTACCTAATACCAGCCCAGAAGAGAACAAGAAACTGTGTCATGCTATCAAATAGCACAGTTATCAACCAAGAATTGAGCTGTTCAAAAACTCTCATTTTCCAAGAACTATCGTAGAGTGGAACTCCTTGCCACCAAGCACAGTTGGGACATCATCACTAGAAGCTTGAAACAACTCCTTCAATTAAATGCCCGAAGATTGAGTGTACAAGGACTCGAAGCCGGTTTACAAGGACCCGAACTTCTGTCGGCAATATCTGACAAACGGTGCTGGAAGCAGAACTTCTCCTGCTACACCTCGAGTTGAGGATGAAAGAAGAAGAGAAGGAGAAGTTGAGTGTAACTTGAGTGCAGCTGGTGTGTTACCCGGTTGTACTGAGTGATACAAACCTGCACTCGCACACATCCACTACACAGCTGTCATAGAACTCCTTCGGACCCACAGACCCGTGGCAGGCGGAGAAGGCCTCGGAGTAGAGGATCTTGCAGCGGTTCTCGATGGCTATGATCTCGTCCGAGGCGAGGTGTGCGCAGGGGTGGGGAGGGTTGGTCGGTGCGGGGGTGCATTTGCGTCCGTCGTTCACGTGCATGTTGTTCCCAAACTCTGTCGCACTGTCAAACGCCTTTGAAAGAGAGAGAAACTTAGCTTTCAAAATGGTTTGTGCAATTGTGAAGTCCAGTTAAAGGTTCACTGTTAACTTTTGTGAAGACTCAGAGCATGGCTAATAATAGAGAAGGAAATCACATCTTTTTGACAATAAGGATCACTGAAGATTCTTATATAATTTGCATCATCACTTGAACACCTCAAGCTACAATATGCTGAATCAAATAGTCTTTATTGGACTACTGGACTATATTGCCTAAAAATGAGAAACACCTGATTCACCAGAATACTAAGAATATGACATATTAATATATAGTTAGAACTGGTTACCTTTCCAGTGATACTGCGAAATTAGTAGTCATTGCTGTGATCACCATCAAAGTTATAGAAAATAATATTAATGCAGAAAATTATGTTGTAAAGGCCAGCAGGACAAGAGGGTTTTAAGTTTGTGTACCTTTCCAGAGATGCTGTGGAAGTCATTGGTGTGGTCTCCGTCAAAGTTCCCGCAAAGACCACACATGCTGCCCCGCTGGCTGCTGGGTATCACCACGGTTACCGACTCATCTCCGTCATACAACACCTTCACTCCTGGAGGAAGAATGCAAAGAAATAAATACTAGATATTATTGCAACATACAAGTAGCAATGGTTTTTAAGTCATCATAACAAGGTACTGTAGTTAAGTTTTAAAGAAGGCTGAGAAACAATATCAAATCTAAGGTTAAAATCTAAATTGAGACAATTTCAATTGTGTATCATGGAGAAAGGCATGATTCTATGCTAATTACAGCACTTGAAGAAAATATTTCGAAGTGTAACAATTTACATGTAGGAGCTGGAAGACAAGCACTGAATGGAAGTGACTGAAAAGCAGTGGTGGCCCTCATTGTTGACAGATATCAGCGACTATGACGATGATGAAAACACAACTTTTTTTCTAGTATCAGTTTAGGTTGCTCAGAGAATGTCCTGCATATAACCAGCAATAAAACTTACCATCGAGGAAGTTGAGGATGGTGTAAGCCCCGATCCTCTCGGCGGTGACGGCAGCGTTGATGATGGCCGGCAGTGTCTGCTCCTGGTCCTGGTAGAACGTGTGATGTCCGGGCGTGACCGTGATCTCAGCCGGACCTGAGATGATCCGCACCGCGATGTCACAGTCTGACTCGTCAGCGTTGCACTCAAACTTGTTCAGGATCTGGGGAATGAAAAATGTTTAGGATATAGGAATTTTTCTTTTTCACAACTAGGAAAGACTCACCTTCCTTACATACTACCAGTCTAATGAAAACTATTTTCGGGAGATGAAAACTTGCATTGTAAGAAACAAACGGTATGTGTACAATATACTTCTTGAAAAAACATAAGTGTTGTGAGACATAGAATTAAATCTTTTATTTTCCACTTTTGATCTAGCCTGGGTTTCATCTTTCACACTTTGACCACCGGCTCTCTCTTGTTGCTAGCTATTACCTCCTTGGTAACCGAGGTAGACAGTGGCCAGAGAGTGCCAGCGGTAACTAAAGAGGATGGTACTAACCCAGGCTACTTTCAGTCACGTAGCTTGAAACTACTATACTTAAACTACCCTCCTAGAAGTCTGATCATGCACAGGAGGCTACTTCCTCACCTGTATATAGAAGAGTCCCCCACACTCGTACGCCAGGTTGTAGGAGCAGTTCCCGTGGAAGTAGAAATGGTGTCCGTCAAACGTGCTGTAGTGGGTGTCGCCCCAGAAGGAACACACCCCCTCCTGCAGAGTGGACCCTACCGAGCCCAGCAGGGGGGCTGGGGTGGCGGCTACAGCACTGATCAAACCTGGACAACAGTGACAATGATGATGATGACAATGATGACAATGAATTTGCATATTCGCACCCCAAATGGGCCAAATGCACTAAGTTAGATAACTGAGGTATAAGGGTAGGAGAAACAAGAGTCACATACTAGTAACTGTGCTATGTCTATATCTTAAGGATCCCTTCTCTCTATTTGAAACATGTATGAACAAATTTACATAGTTTTCATTTACATCATACTTTGAACTTGGATGTCATAATATGTTTGAACAATCCTGTTTTCAGTAAATGCACATATTACAGTTCTAATTGTATTCAATAAAAGATTTTTGCATTTAAGGGAAGTGTTCAAGATTTCGTATATTTGAGGGATCGTATGATGTAATCATACATGATCGTCAATTGTAATTGCATGCACCATGTATAATTCCATATGATTGTAGAAAGAATTCTTAGAGTATGAGAAAAGAATCTTTCATTAGGACTCACTGATTTCACAGTTGTCTCCATCATACTCCTCGGGACACAGACACTTGTTCGGGGCGACGCACTGTCCTCCATTCTGGCAGGGGGAGGGGCAGATAGCTGGGGGGGGGGGCAAAATAGCTGTCATGACTTATGTAAATTGGACACTACAGTCACCTGAGGACACACCCTACTACAGAGGGATGACAAAGCGGTCCTCGTCAATCTGACGGACGAACGACACAAATTACAAAGGCCTCCTTCAGTCAATATTGACCAAGGTAAAATCCTTATTGTTAACAGCCCTACAGCTTCAGCTATGACTGAACAGTCCTATTTGGTAATCTGCCACATACTGCAACTGCAGTGATTAGAAGTTTTTAAAACAGTTCTGGAGAAAATATATACCTAATAATTATGTGAAATTAATTTGAGATTCATGCTTCATATGTGCCTCGTGTATACAGTATTTTAACAGCGACCATGCATGTCTCAGAAATGTGAGATAATTGCACAAATATGTTAAAAAGCGGAAGTACATGACAATATCAATCACACAAACTTAAAGATTTTTGTATGCACTGCATTCCAACTCAGTATAAACCTACATATTGTCAACCTACAGGACAGAGGCATTAAATAGCAGGCTGCCATCAAGCCTCAGCACCAGTGTGCAAGCACATTTAACCCTGGGAAGTCGGGGAACAACAGACACTAGACTGGATAGCAAGTGAGTGTGAGTATGATGGTAACTACTGACCGTTTTCACAGTTTGCTCCCTCGTACCCTTCAGGACACTTGCACAGGTTCTGTCCGATGCACCTGCCTCCATGGAGGCACTCTCCTCCACAGTCAAAATCAGCTGGGGAAACAGATGGTTGTTAAAGGTTACCTTAAGTTAAAAGTGATCTTAATTGATTTTTAGCTCACTGAAGAGCTTTAAATCTCCCACTGGTTGTGACAGAGAAGACAGACGCTATGTACAGTATACATATACAGGTTCATCGAGTTGGATCTAATGTTGCATCCAGAACATTGTGTGCATACATTCCAAACCTTAGCAATGCCCTGAAGCAGGCAATGTGTTCTGGATAGTCCACGTGATCTCATGTGTATCCAGAACTGTGCCTGTATGAGGCAAATCTTTGATATGTCAGTGATCTTAACTCTTTGTCCCCATTTGGGCAAACAACTAGCTATAAAGCACAGTTCTGGACTCTTGCTCTGACCAGACATCATTCTACTTGCTGCTGCAGGACCTCTGACCTCAGACTAGTCCATTTCGTGTTGGGAGGGGAGAGAATTTTAATATCATGAGCAATGTATCAATATTTACCATAAGTTAGTTTGTACCTTCGCTTGTTTTCTATTTCGTCACTTCAGTATGTTTTGTTTACATATGCTGGGAAAATTGAAAATTGTCGACATGGTGACATGTATTAATCCCAAATAAATAAAAATGAAAAAAGACGAAGTGTTTGACCCCTACCAGTGGAACAGTCCAGCCCGGACCACCCCAGGGGGCAGGAGCAGGTGTCAGGAGCCATGCAGTTCCCTCCATTCTGGCAGGGGGCGCTGCACACAGCTGAAACAGATGGAATCTGAGATGAAGAAAACTGTTCGAGTATGGAAATTACCACACAACATAGTTATTACTGTCATTTTTTTCTGCAGTCACTTCAATATAAGTGAATACATGAAATGTACGTTCTGTCACAAACTCAAAGATACCATTAACTCTTGACTTTCATAGTGCTGTGAAAATTATGTGCTGCAAACTGAAGTGAATTTACATTAGATGCAGTTTAGAGAAAGGCACAAACAAACAAACAAACACAAATAGTTCCTCACCAGTCTGGCAGCTGTTGCCGCTCCATCCTGCAGGACAGGTACAGATGTTCGGCTTCTCACACAAACCTCCGTTCTGACAGCCGGAACTGCACACAGCTGGATAAAACATAATAAACAACAGAGTCGTAAAGAAACTTCCCTTAACTTTGTTTGTCAAATTTAATAGAAAAAAATCCATTTCACAGTGGGGTGATTTTTTGTTATTGTTGGAAGAAGCAAGTGGTAGAAGTAATTTTAGGACAGCTGATTCCTGCAAATGGTTGATATGGGGCAGTCCATTATGGATGAGGAGGGAGATGTAGCGAAATATGCTGTATTTGCTTGCAAATGTCTCCTTCTCAGTTGCATCTTTTCCCCCTTTTAATATCTTAAAGTTCTTAAATCTTTTGTTCTATCTTCTATCATTCTAGCTTTTTAAATTTTTTTTTCATTCCTTTC